AAAGAGAGCGGGAGAAGGCACAGCAAACTCCAGTCAGCTCCTGCAGGATCTCCAAGGGTGCAGGATGCCACCAACTGCCCTGAGATCGCAAGGCCAGGCCGCAGAAAGAAGTTATGTTGCAAGGGCCCAGCTCTGCTTCCAGGGGGAACTAAGGAAAAGCTCCACAGGCAATTGGACCAAGCTGCCCCTGGAAGCAGTGCAGACTCACCCGAGCATGAGGAGCAGGCTAGCTACACACAGGGCCTGGGAGAGGAGGTCCGGGCCAGGGTCCTCAGTTTCCATCATGAGGAGCAGGATTTCCACGCAAGCTGATGAGGAACCCTGGAGCTTACAGGAAGCATCCTGAGACCAAGATGTGGTATTTCTGCAAAGATGCATCAAAGCCTCAAGGTATGATATCAGGAACTCTTTGTTCCTTCTGTCTTGCAGCACTGACTGTAAATTCTCCTGGTAAATAGTGGGAAAGAAGATAGACAGTTAGTTCTTTGGGAATCTGGGGTCCTTACAGCCTTCAGAGATGCTGTAGAAATGCTGCATATGAACCCAAGCAACACTGAGAGAATGCTCTGGACCTGCTACATCCTCCCAGAAGGCAGATAAGGGGAGAAAGGAGCACTGGGGAATTCTGTGCTTTTTAATGAGCCTCCAGGTACAAACAGCTGGGGGTATCATCCCATCTACAGAGGAGCCATCAGCATGTGAACCCCCAGGTTGACTCTGTGACTTTGGGGACTTGTCTTACCAGCAGCGTTAGCCGGAGGGCCTTCTCCAGGGCCTCGCACTTTTCTCCCTCCCCTTTGAGCACCCATTCCAGGATGGCAAACTGGACGTCGGGATTGGGCTCTCGGAGGAGTGAGCAAACGGTGCCGATTCCCTCCTCGTCCGCCAGCCGGGCGGCCTCGCTGCACAGGAAGCAGACGATGGTTTGGCGCAGGACAGTGGAGCCCACCTGGGAGAAAAGCCGGGTGCTCTGCCTGGCCCTGCCTCGTGGGCACGGGTCTCTAGTGGGACACGCTCTCCTGGGCACGGGCCACGCTGGAGTGTGTCCCGTGCCCCAGGCCAGCTGTACATGGTGACCCAGCTAGGATTTCCTCACTCTTAGCCAGGGCAATAAGGACTGGTCACCAGCTGAATAACTCCAGGGGAGACTTTTACAGCCCTGGGAACATCCAGCTTGGGAGAGACGGGAGCTGTGCCCTGCCTCCTGTATCCGCAGCGAGCAGCAGTACCTGGAGCTCTATGGAGCTCTCCTCCGGCTCGTGGCTCCGCAGCTCGGCAGCGAGGGGGTCCCGGAGCCGTGCGGCGAAGCCGGGGCTGCAGGAGGCGGCGAGGGGGGCGAGC